TCCATGTGACTCCTCCAGGTCCAGGGTTCTCGCTGCCATCAGCATAGCCCCTTGTGTCTTGTCAGTAGAGAGTCTCTCAGGGAGTGAGCCTAGAGGGTGTCTCCTGCCCTGAAGGAGGAAGAGAGGCATTCCCAGAATCCTTAGAAGGCCAAGACCACATACAGGCCTCATTGGCTATGACCTGATTGACAGCCAAGACTCCAGCCCTTTACTCTGAATCCTCAAATTGACACCAGATTATGTAACTACCACAGATGTAGTCTATTTTATTCATATTTTTTCCATCTGCTGAGGTCCCCATGTACACTCAAAACTCAAATTCACTACCATCAAGTCGATTCTGACTCATAGCAACCCTGCAGGACAGGGGAGAACTGCCCCTGTGGGTTTCTAAGGCTATAAATTTTGATGGGAGCAGAAAATCTTTCTTTCTCCTGCTGAGTGAATGGTGGTTTCAAACTGCTAGCCTTGTGGTTAACAGCCCAATGCACAAGCACTATGCTATCTGTAGTGTCTTTCTTTTTAACTTATTTTTTTAGTGTCTTGATTAATGTTCCCTATTTCACGTTTGTGGATTCTAATATCCATTGCAACGGCTACACAAACTCACAAAATTCATGTTACAGTTTACCATATATACTCGAGTATACGCTGACCCAAATATCAGCTGAGGCACCTAATTCTACACAAAAACTACATTAAAAATGCGCTAAAAACTCAACTTATACTCAAGTATATACGGCACTAAGAAATTCAACAAGTTGTAATGCCAGCGAGAAATGCTCACAGGAGTTTACCAGGACGTGTTACAAAGCTGCAGGTCTGTTAATAAATGGTCAAAGGGGGATTCCACTCTATTGTAAGCCTCAATCCAAAGGCATTCAACTCAAGCTCCATAGGCCAGCAAGCCTAACTTCCTGAATTAAACACCCAGAGGCACCCCACTCCAGTAAGCCTCAGTCCAAAAACACTTCAGCTCCACTTCCAGGGGTCAGAGTCCAACTTCCTCAATTAAGTGCCCAGAGGCACCTTACTCCGAAAGCCAGCCTCCAGCACAAAAGCATTCATCTTAACTTGCTCCGCAGATTGGTACGTCCATCAATCAGTTTCATGCTCTGGTTCCGGTTTCTGCCATCTGGATCCAGAAGGTTCACTGCGCAGAGATTTGGGCTTCATAAAGATACACTCCACTCCTGGCTCTTGCCGGTAATGAAATCCCTACTCCTGCTTCAAATAGAGCTTATTTACACACGGTAGAATGGCACTCCAGGGAACCCTGTTTGCAGTTACAGGTGCATCCTTTCAGGATTCCTCCCACTTTCTTACAGATCCATACAGGGAAAAGTCATTTGGCAGGAGTTAGCGACTTGGGCTAGAAGAGCCACAAATAATTCATGTCTCTGCATCACCAGAACCTCTTCCCCATGCACAACTGCCATTAAAAATGCTGTTCAAAATGGAATTCATGTTCTTCAGTGTAGGTGTTGATCTGAAAATTCCTATTTTATCATCTCAAGCTATTTTCTTTGACTAAGGCCTAATTAATAGATCCTTCGTTCCTCTCCCACAATTTTCACTAGTAATTATCAATGTATCTTCTGCACGTTTGCTCAATTCCATATTGAAAAAACTGGTAGACTTTCTTGGATTTCTTCATTACTGGCTTTAGTGGCTGGTGTGGAAAGCTGAGTAAGTTGTATTAACCAATCTTCTTTGTAGGCTTATAAATATTATCCTATCACAGGCAGCATTGTACTTCGGTATTCAAAACAGATCTTGACATGTGCTCTGTGGTGAATGTGCTGCCATTTCTCTAGCCTGTGTCATTCCTAGCATAATAAACCAGATGACTCTAATTCAAAAAGGCCAGTACTAGTGCATTTCAGCTCACCAACGTCTACAATATTGCTCTTTATTGTGGTCCATTTCATTTTTGACTTGTAATTCTTTTTTGATTCACACTACATATATTTCGTGTTCTAACTATTAATGGATGTTTGCAGCAGCTGTGTCTTCTCGTTTTCAGTCATGCCCCACTAGCAAATGAAGGTCCTAATACGTGCCCCATCCAAATCATGTATTCTGAATGCCTTCTAGCCCGAGGGGCTCATCCTCTAGCACCACATAATACAACAATCGAGGGCTATTCATAAGGATTGCAGTGGTTAATTTTTCAGAAATGGACCACCTCACCTCTTCCTTCTTCCTACTCTGTTCTTTGTCTATTAGCTCCTCTAAAAGCTGTTCACCATGGGTGACCCTGCTGGTATTAGAACATCATAGCAGCAATCCCCAGAGTATGACAACCTGGTGAGTGGGTGAGCACTGATAAGCAAAGTTAAAACAATACAAGTGCTGGCAAGGGTACGGAGATATTGGAACTCCCATATACTCATGGGGGGACTGTAACATCCTACAACCCAGCTTCCTTAATAAAGTGGAAATAGAAATACTGTATGATTCAATGATTCCACTACTTGGTATACACCCTAGAAAAAGCAAAACCATGACATGAACAGATATATGCACCCATGTCGATCACAACATTATTCACAACTGTACAGAGACGAAAACAACCTAAGTGTTCATCAAAAGATGAACTGATAAACTATGGAACAAACCCTACGCTACACAATAGTAATGCCTCTGCCAAACACCTCCTCGCACTTATGAAGCTAAAGATCATTGTGCTGAATAAAATCAGCTAATCACAAAAGGACAAACAGTGCATAAGACCATTAAAAAAATTAAGAAAAAGGCTTACACACAGAGAGAAAGATTCGTTGAAGGCTACCAGTGATTGGAGGGGCAAAGTGGGGAAATCACTAAGTAGAGATTAGACATGCATTAGCTTAGGAGAAGGAAAGGGGGAGGATAACATAACATGATCAAGGCAGATATTTCAAGTGCCTAAGAGAAAAGGCAACAAAGGTAAATATATTACATAACAATGATGCCGTAACATTAGTAACAATAACCTACGAATGTGTACAGAGGTAGCCATGCAAGCTGAACAGATATAAATGTGAGTATACACATGAGTATATATCTAGAGGTTTGGCAAAGGATATTTCTACATATGTACTGCATGTGCCGGAAGTATATCCATGTACCTAGTAGTGCACAGAGAGCAAAGTTATGAAAACTTCGCCATAACCAAACACCTTGAGGGAGTAAGGACAATGTTCTACACCACCTTTCTCGAGTCATGACTGGGGTATTAAAAGCTTGCAAGTGGCCACCTAGAATGCACCTATTAGTTTCTCCCCTTTCAGAGCAAAGAAGAGTGAAAAAACCAAAGACAAAGGAAACAAATTAGTTCCAAGATTAATGGACCACATGAACCACAGTCTATTATATGGAAAATGAATGTGCTTTGTCCATTTTCACCCATACCATAAAATAAGAACCACCGAACCAACTGTCACCAAATCAAATGTGCCCAGTGGTGACTCTATGCTTCACAGCAGAACCACAGCCCATAAGGGTTTTAATGGCTGATCAATGGATTTGTATGACTAACTTTCTATTTAGCAGCAGAGTGCCTCTTTGTGCCACCCAGAAACTCGATTCACATATTCAAGGGATTTGAAATTTATTACTGTTCAACCTATAGTAACTAAAAAAATTATCAGTTGAGTGTGCGAAGAAAAATGTAAGATTACATGATATCAGCTTCTATAAATCCCAGACTATATAAACCATTTTTCCAAGTTAAAAAAAAAACAACGATGCAAAAGTATATGGCCCAGGTTTCAGGAACTCTGCCACAAATCTGTCAGTTGATATTGGTCAAGTCATTTAATCTGTGTCTTACATCCAGTTCCCCTCTTCAGGTAACAAGCAAGCTGTCAAATCAGTATCAGCAGTATACCAAACGTGCTGTCCGGGCACAAGGGAAGGAGAGGGGGAACTGGAAATGAGTAATATGACTCAACTCTGGGATTGAGAATGGAGAATAGCCCTTCTGGCAGAGGAAACAAAGCAACGCAAAATCATCAAAAATGACATTAAGCTGATACACCGAGAGGGGAATTGGACAGAGCAAGAAACAAGAAATAGGCAAAGGCCAGATATGCTAATCTAGAGCATGAACTCTATCTCAAAGAACATTTATTTTTAAAAAAAGAGGCTTTTAAAAGGTTTCAGCAGATTCTCAAGTCAGCCAGGAGACACTATTTGGTGATGAGGGTTGGAGGTTCAGAGATATCAGGCGGAACAAGTCACTGCAAACACTTAAGTTATCCTTCTTATCCTTCTATCATTCCATCTCTTTGGTAGACAGCGATAGAAATAAAGATCACATTCTTTTATCACATAAATAAGTAATAGGTAAAAAATAAATAAAAAAAAAGTAATAGGTTAGCTAACAAGAACTAAGCACTTTGTTCCAGAACACTGACAGTAGACACTCCCTTAACAGATATGCAGACTGAGTGAAGTCCATGGTGCCACTCGTGGCTCATCTGTTTCTACTGTACCTAAACAATCTGCTTCTACCCAAAGTTGTGTGCCGTCCAGAAGTCAGTGACACTGGTTTGCAGGTTTGTTTTGCCAACTGTACTTGGTTTAAATAAGTGTCATATAAATGGATTAAAGTATGAATACAAGAAAAAGTAAATTCTAATTTTTCAGAAATTCTATTGCTTGACTCAGAAAAACAAGCAGGTTAAAAACCCAGTCAGTTGATTAAAAACAAGCAAACAAACAATAATAGTAGTAGCAGCATCAGCAGCAACAACAAGCTGCTAGATTTGGTGTGAGGAAAAAAACTGGGCAGGGTGGGGAGGACAGAAAACATAAGACTGTAATCAATTTATATGTGATCAGTGATGATCGAAAATAATCAACAAGCATAATGATGTAGAAACAAAAGAACATAAAAAAAGGCAACATCTTTAGACAGGGGACAGTACAAGTCCAAATTTTACAGCATTCCGGCCCCCCACCCACAACTTGATCTTCTCTAAAAGTATTGTTTTAGAAACACGTAAATGTACTCTGAAAATGCACTTACACGCCTGTGGATTCTGGAAAGCCACAGCTTTGTCGATCTTTAGCTGAGACTGAAGGGCAGCTACTTCCCAACGCCGAAATTCCGGTGCTGTTGTGACATTGAGCAGGAATTCCATTACAGTATCACTATAAAAGGCATCAAAGAAAGAATTACAAACCCAAATTTTAAAACCAAGTTTCTACATGCTATCAATGTTAAACTTTAGGCTTTGTGATTAAGCAGCCAGGAATCGTTGAGAGTTCATGAAAAAAAAAAAAATTAAAAGATAAATAGAAACCTTGTTTTACAACATAAGCCCATCCACCTTTAGTCCATCCCTAGAGAACTGAGGGTCCTGGGAATGGAATCATTTCCATGTGGTCTTTTTTTACATTAACTGAAGATAAAGGGGTGCCTTTTAAAAGACTTCTTAAGACCAGGAAACAAAAAAGAAGTCAAAAGGAGCCAAATTAGCACTAGAAGGTGGTGCTGAAATTCTCATAAAGTTTCTTGTTTTAGGAGAGCAATCAGCAGCACTGTCTTGGTGAAGGAATAGAAGTCTTCCTGCTAAAGTTTTTGCTTTCTCCTTGAAGGTAAACAAGCAGCCATCTAGCTGAGAAGCAACAAAGCCCACATGGAAGAAGCACACCAGCCTGTGTGATCACGAA